ATATATATATATATATATATATATATATATATATATATATATATATCCTCCAAGTATATATCCTAGAGAAGCCATTACAAACCAGGAAGAAACATGATAGAAAACGTTTACAAACAAAGTTAATTATAAAAAGGGGGGAAGTGAGGGAAGCAGAAAGAGGAAGGAAAGAACAAATCAACCCAAATACCTAAAGATCTGTGGAATGGAATAGAGATCCCAGAAACAGAGCCACACAAATGAGGCAAACATGCACAATTCAATAGAGGAAGGATGGTCTTTTCCACCAATGGCACTGGATATCCATAGGCAAAACAACAAAACCCCCTCAACCTGAACCTCCCCTTATACAAAAATGACCTCAAAATTGATCATGAACATGAATTTACATGTAAAATGTAAAACTTAGAGAAAAATCTTTAGGCTTTGTGGCTAGGCAAAGATCCTTTAATATTTGACATCAAAGACATGATTTATACATGGAAAATTGACCTTATAAAAATTAAAACTCTGAAAAGAGTGAAATATTTGCAAATCACATCATGTATGAAAAAGTTTTGTAACAATAATATACAGAACTCTCAAACACACACAAAACCCCAAAAGATTGGCAGAAACTTTGTAAAAGTAGAATATATCTGAGTGACACAAGTATATAGCAGCTGCCCAATATCAATCATTAAGTAAACGCAAATCAAAATGTCAATGCAATACCCACTTCACACCTCTGGAATACAATACTAGATGCCCTAACTCATTAATTCTTTCACATTGGCGATGTGATTTCAAAATTGTGTAGCTACCTTTTATTGTTTTCTTTTGGTACTAGGAAGAGAAACCAGGGTTTCTCCCATATCAGGCATGGGCTCTACCACTGTGCAGCCAATCCTGTGCAGCCACTTTGGAAACCAATCTGATGGTTTCTCATAAAGGTAAATGTACACTTATTACCTGACCCAGCAATCCTACTTCTAAGTATTTATCCAAACGAAGTAAAAACATATGTTGTTCACACACGTACACACACGAACTTTACATGACTGTTTAGAGTGGGTTTATTTATAGCATCCCCAAACTGGCGGAGAGGGAGAGGGAGAGAGGGGGAGAGAGAGAGAGAGAGAGAGAGAGAGAGAGAGAGAGAGAGAGAG